CTCTTTTTGTTTCTTTGTTATAAACTAATAATGGATAGTTTTTGAATACTGAGAAGTTAGTTTGGAGTGTCAAACTGTGAGAGTCATAAGCCAAGATATTGGATTCTGTGTGATGAATTGAAAAATTGAATACAATAGGTAAATTGAAGATCAGTAATTGAATATATATAAACCATAAAGAGAGTAAGTAGGAAATGAACGGATAAGAATATGGAAGTATTATTGAATTGATATTCGTAGAATGGATTATGGGTTGAATTAAGATAGAAGTAGTAAGCTTTGGTATTTTATACTTTGATAATTGATTTCAGATAGTCAGAGTACAGTTAATTGTGACACTAATAGATCCAATTCATATAACCAATCTTTTCATGTATTCGAACCCACCTCTATTAGTTCAATTGCTTTGGTATATTGAAGCTTGAACACAATGAGAACAACAATCATCATTTTTCATAGCTTCAATGATAGTAGCTAGTTCTTCAATGCTTGTGTAAAAAGCACGTGCCATATATACTAAAGATATAAATGACTTAGAAAGAATCCAAGCGAATGCTGATTCATCAATTACTTGTTATTGTACCAAAAGTTAAGCTCTTGCACACTTCATTATAGATGAAGGTAGAGGTGGAGGTAGAATTGGAGATGGATTTAAAGCCGTACATTATTATTTAAGTACTCAAGCTTGTGTTCAAATATTTCAAACAAAAGATGAAGATTCAATAGGTGGTTGTTGGTGACCTTTACCGGTGTCCAAATCTTCCATTATATCCTCAATGTTATTTTTTAAATCTAATGAAGATTCCATAGATTCAATTTTAATCCTTGTTTCTTGAAGTTTATTAATAGAAATCTTCAAAGTTTCTTCCATTTACTTACAGTCTTTACACTCAACAAAATTAACATCTCGACTTTTAATTATGGAGCCATTTTTAATATTATACAAATGATAGCACTCAGTACCTTCAATATAGTCCAAAAATATATTTTTTTTTTGCTTTTGGAATCAAATTTTGTATGTTTTTCATTTGAAATATATCCATAGGTATTACATATAAAGACGTGAAGGTATTATATTAAAGATTTTATACCTAATCAAACTTCTTTGGATATTTTTCCTTCCACAATTATAGTAGTAGCTCAATTAAGGACATATATTATAATATTAATGGCTTTTATTCACCATGCATTCAAAAGTTGTTTATATTGTAACAAGCACCTCACACTCTCAAATAATGTCCAATTCTTGTATTCTGCAATTCTATTTTGTTAAGGCATATAAGGCATTGAAAATTATCTTTTAATGCCATATTGCTTACAAAACTATTTAAAGGCCTTAAATGTGTACTCCCTTCCATTGTTATTACATAATTTTTGAATCTTCAAGCTCGTTTATTTCTCAACTAGAGCCTTAAAAATCCTAAAGTTATCCAAGACTTTAGACTTTTATTTTATAAAATATACAAAATTTTTTCTTAAAAAATCATCAATAAAAGTAATAAAGTATTTTTTCTTCTATTAGATGTTGTCTTCATAGGACCATTTACATCAAAATATATCAATTCTAATAATTTTATTATACAAATACCACTTTTTTTTGAAAAAGCATCATGATGTTGTTTTCCATAAACACATCCCTTGCAAAACTCTAACTTTATATCCTTGCTTACGTCCAAATGAGTGACCATATCACTTGCTTATAGTTTCTTTAAGCCCAATATTTCAAGATGACCATATTGTTGATGTCAAAGATCACTCTTGTTCAAAATTTATTTTGTCTTAGTAATAAGAAAAGTATTTTTAACTTCATCTAAAAATCTCAATAGCTTATATAGGCCACCATATCTTACACCTTTGATGGTTGTATTTTCTTATTTCATGAGACATATATCAGTATTAAAATTCACTTTGTAACCTTGATCTATCATTTTGCTAATAGAAAGAAAATTCTTGACTAATCTTTCAACATGCAAGATATCATGTACATCCTTGCAAACATTGTTTGGAAATTGAAAAGAAATCTTATCATTTCTTTTGATAGCAAGTCTAGTACCAATGCTTAAATAGACTTTAGGGCCTTGTAGTAGGATTTTATAACATGAAAATCAACTTCAATTTCATGTCATGTATTGAGAAGTATCAAAATCAATGTACCATTCTTTGTCATTTATAGTGACAGATAACATAGCTATAAAGACAAATTCATCATCCTTTCAATCTTTCTTGTCTATTGTATTAGCCTACACTTTTTGAAAAGTCTTTCTCTAACTTTCCTAACTTCTTGTCATTTTCCTTGGTCCAACACTCTTTTTCATAGTAACCATTTTTGCCACAATATTTGCATTTAATATCTTTCTAGTGAATATGTCAAGACCCTGCATGAGTATGAATATGAAAATGTGACTTAGATTTTCTTTCCATAGCCAATGCTACCTTGAAGGTTGCTTTCATATTCTTGTCGTGAAACTCTTGTTGTAATAGTTAAGCTATGACCATGTATAATATTAGTTCTTATAGAAGTCTTGTTTCTAGTTTCACCACCAATGTCTAGTATGATTTTGAGAAACTCCCTAGTAATGCCATTATAAAGTGTGTATCAAAAACCTTCTCACCAATAGAAGAAAGTTGCTTCACCATCTCCTATAGCTTGCCTATATGCATGACAATGTTATCACCTTCACTTATTTGCACGGACCAGAACCTGCAAATCAAGTATAATAGATTCAAAGTATTTTTTACCTTGTATATTGCTTCTAGACCTTGCCATGCTGCTTATGCACTTTCTACCTTACTCATGGTCAAAAAATTTATACCTAAAAGATGTAGGCAAATTTTCTCCATAAGTCCCAATTTTTTTCTTCCATAAGTGCCAATTTTCTCCATCAAATTTCTCTATAGTCTGGTATTCTATTGCCATCTTGTAAAAAATATGCCCTAAATAGAAGAAATTAGAGAAATGGAGGAAGAAATAGAATGTGAATAGAAATGAGATCTAAGAAAGATTTCACATGTACTTATAGATTTTTTGAATATTAATTAAAAAAAATCTTATAAAATTTCTAAAAAAATTCTAAAAAAAGAAATTAGAATGTATCACTAGTATTCTCAAAAAAATTAAACTCAAAACTTCAAAAATTGTGTTTTTAAAAGCTTTCTGTGTGAAATTATGTCTAAAAAACTTGGAAAAAAAAAAAAAAAAAAAAAAAAAAAAAAAAAAATCAAATCAAATCAAATCAAATTTGGAGCTCCTTGGTCTTGTTAAAGTTTCTTGGATTGTATTAGCCTCGCTCCTATTGTCAGGTCCCATTGTTGGTGTTGTTGGATCTTGTTACTACTACTAGGTCTTCCCATTGATGTTGCTAGGTCTTGCTTTTGCTATCAGATCCTATTGCTTTTGATGGACTCTATTGCTAGTCTGATCAAATCATCAGCTGTAAGCTCCAACACTTATTGCTTGTAGCACTAAAATTTGAAAATGCTCTTTCTCCTTTAAAGTTAATGCCTTATTATTTCAATTATGAGCTGTCAAAAATATTAGTAGCTTGAGTTCTAGGCTCACTAGAGCTTGAACTCCTCTTAAGCTAATGCAAGAAAATAAAACCTTGTCAAAGTTGATTGAAAGATCAAGTCCTGCAAAATAGCCTCAATTGATTCACTCAAACCGATCAAAGGATAAATCTAGAGTATCAAGGCTCTAATACCATGTGAAAAAAATATAAAGGAAGTATATTGTTAAGATAAAAGTTTTATGAAGCAAATACAAAAGAATTCTCTATTTTACTATCAAAGATTCAAGAAAACAAACGATTAAAATTAATCTCTACTTCTACTCCTTATATAGCAGAAGTCCATAGTTTAACCACATGGACTTTTTAGTATGAACATACAAACAACTAGCCTAGTCAACGATGTCCAATTCACATGTTGATATTCATCTTATTAGGTTGTATGACAACTTGGTAGGCTATGGTGGCTACAAATTGTCAATTGGCAAAGCGATGTCAACCGTCTATTCTACTTTATGTCTAATAGGAGTTACACACGCTATTAACAATGTACTCCTTGTATCCAATGACTACCTTACATGTATAAAAACACATTAAAACGATTTCAGTAAAATATATTTACTTAGTTTAATTACTGATTTTTTAGAAAAATATAATTTCAAATCACGTTGTTCAATTTCATTTTTATTTTTTAAACAAACAAACACTAGAGCAGTTTTCAAAAAATAATAAAACAATATTCCCTTTCAATGACAATATATTACTTAGGTTTAGGATTTATGTGGGTTTCCATAGGCCTTAAATCCTGAACCTAATTCCATCATTCACATCGGGGAGGCCATTCAACAGTCTAAACCGGGATTACAAACAATTCCTAAATATGGGCAGACAATAATCCTGAGGCCCATTGGGGGGCACCTTCATCATGGGCAGCCCGTGATTCGTCGAATCCTTTGCAGTAGTATTCCCTCTGACCCCCCTTCCAGCTGACCGACGCGAGATTACGGCCACGTCAGCTCAATGCCAGATCATGGCCCCTCCCTGGGAGAGGTCGCCACATCCCTTCCAAAGGCGGCATCCCCTAGAGAACGATGACCTGGCACCACATCATTCCACTCGAGGCTGGACCCCCAATAGTTCCCTCGAACCCGAAAAAGACAAAAGTTACTTTGTCAAGAAAAGGTCTTGCCCCATGCGCAGTTTGAATCACAAACCTCGGACACATTGGACATCTTTAAAGTAACGACGCTTGAAAAAGAACTAAAGCGTAAAAAGAAAAGGTAATCGGACGTTTGGACATGGAGCTTTGTCACTTCATGTACCTGGGTCACGACAAATAGCTATTTCGGCATCCTGGCAGTCCTTGCGGGGACGCTGGTTGGAATGGCAGAAAACAGGCGAGACAACTGTCGATCACGGTGAATGGCACCCGTGCAGACACTGCTGACGATTAAAAATATAATGTAGTTTGTCACTAGTTCGATCAACATCCGAGTTGGATCTTCGGAAGCAACGCAACGGAAATCCAATTCCTACTCAACGACAAACATTCCACTTCTGCAGTTTGCCGTTTTGAGCTGCTGAGTTTTGTGGGGGCTGCTTACATGCATCCCATCCACGATGCCGCACTGGAGCGAAGTTCGTTGCCCCTGTAAACCAACCCGACACCTAGAAAAAAGGCGAAAGATGATCGGAGCAAGACAAAGGAATGACTGAGCAGTATGATAGAGGCCGCGTACTTATTGCGAGCCCTCCATTTTCTGCTACATAGTCGCTAATCTATCGTCGTTTCCGCTATTATCGCATCGAAGCATCAACGCCTGCTCCACTCTGCTGCTCACCATTATCTACTACGTGCGCCGGTATGCACCTCATCTCGCCTCTACTATACACATGTATTTGCGGATGTCATGTGTGGCGGTATGCACAGATCTGCCTCTAGTGGACCTCTACAGTATTACTCTGAGCACAGATATATAACCTGTGCTGGTAGAAGATTAGGATCGTGATAACCCAGTGTTGAGGAGCTTCGACTCAGGAGCTCTGTAGGGTTTAGGGTTGGGTATGAAGATTCATGCCACCGTTTTGGCAGATGTATTGCTTGCCAACCTTTGGATGATCGGTGATTTTGTGGAATATTGAAATAGCTCATACCGCCAGATTGTGTCAGTTCGGGGCCATCGTTCGAGAATCGGTTTCCTCATGTGGCAGCCACGGAGCAGATATTGATGAAGTACGACCTCCGCACAGTCGTCGGTTTCAGAATAGGACTACGCTGCACTGTGACCGGTTCACGAATGTTTGGCAGGGTGGTTGTCCTTGGTAGCGGTTAGATTTAGTAGTTTGGGTCAAGGGGATGCAGTGAGTGAATGCGTAGCATCGCTATCAGATCTCGTTCACACACATACACAGGCTGTGTCACAATTCGTCTGTCCTGGTGTTTTGGTGTTGCGTGTTAAACGCATGTGGAGGCTGATCCTGTCTGAATTTTGTGCTGGTGTTGGTGCTTTCACCGGCCACAGTGAATACTTCCTAGTAAATCTGCTCTCGATACGATAAGCCTGATATTGTAGGCATCTTCCGGCTTTTCATCATCGACACTGCCGCCGTGGGGACTTGACACGGCCAGGTTATAATCCTGAGGATACATTCCACTGGATCAAGCCTGCCAGGAAAATCCAAGAATTCATGATCGTTTCTCGCATGAACTGAGGTAATTGGTCCTTCTGAAAAAGGCGCTTGGCAGCCGTAAGGTCGTATCATGGTGTTCAGTTGGCACTGTTAACACTATCCTTGACTAATCTTCAACCACATTGTCCCAGGTGATGGTCAAGCTTGTCGTACCGGATCCTTCCACATCAACGGTACCGATGCATGATTCATAACTGTCACTCAAGGGAGTTCTGATTAAGGATTACAAACTCTCCTTGCAGACGAGGAAACGAAAGAATAGACTTGATTCGATTGGGCTATTCTTCGGGAGATATGATATTGTTTCAGATGTTGAGCCTACATGCGACTCGTACGAGAAATGTAGCTTGAACTGCAGATGAGTATTGAACTTTCTATAATTGAGCTTCGGACCAGGCTGCTTCCTCTCGGGAAGTTGCATGTTGGTGCTGTTGTAAAGATGCCGCCACGTAATAGTTGAAGCATGAGTAGCCAGCGACAGTAGAAGTATGCGGTTCAGAGGGGATTCATTCGTGGGAAATGGCGTTTGGACAGAATTTCAATTTTTTTTGCTTCCTCTAATTGAACCTCCAAACCAAGCCTTATTCCCCGCAGCTATGATGGTGCGATGAACAAGGTCATTGGTGCTTGATTAATTGTGTTGCATAACCTAAATATGACTTTGACTATTGGATCGATGCCGTGAGCTGGGCGCTGTCCAATCAAAGTGAACTGATGCAGAGTTGAATGATGACACCACCGACTACACGCGCCTTCTTTAGTGATCAGATTTTCCGGTCCAATCTAGGGAATCTCTCGAAGCAACACTAAGCTCTGTTGTGAGAAATGCTGTGTGGATTCAATTCCTAGCTTGTCGCGAAGCTTCAGACCAGGATATATTCCTTTCCTCCAAGGTGCATGTTTTTACCCCTAATAACAAGACTCTTGTTATTCTCATGAGCAGGACCGTGGGCTGCGCAGATCATTTGGAGTAAATTTGTGAAGCTGAATGAAACGTTTTCGTGGGGAATGACGTGTGGCCCGTAGCCATGTATCTTGGCATGCCAGAATTATGCTCCGGACCAGGCTTCATTCCCCTCGGCAACGTTGCATGATGGTAATTATGTTCACGAGGCATTCTATCTTTGTTTTGTCAGATAGACGCCCTGTTTGAGAGAATTATGTTGATGGAAGAGTACCTGGATAATGTTTCGGTGGCCATGCCGCATGGCTCAACACTTGTGCCTTGGCCCGAGTCTCCAATCAAGGCTATCTTTTCTTCCACCTTGACAGTCGAGGAAGATGGACCCGAGTGCTGCAGAATAGAAAATCCATGCTCAAACTCCGTAAGTGAAGATGAAGTCTTGCTAAATTCAGTTGTCCCTACCCTGACCCAAGCAACATTTCTTAGATCTGAAGGGCGTGGTTTGAGAACTGAGTAGTGAATTGTCACATTGTTTACAACGATGTTCTTGATCTTAATACTATACCCTGTTATAAGATACACCGATCGTCTTTACTCCAGTTTATAGTTGGTTGTAAGTTCATCTCCGTGTTATTGTGACCCAGCATATCCACTAACCTAGTCCGATTGAAATTTGCAGAACAGCCGATGTACTTTCACTGTCGGCATAATGATTTTCATTTCATTAAATGCTCTGCGTCAGAATGTGTTTGGGATATAGACCGTCACAGGTTTTTCAAATTTCCGTTATAGTGCATGCTGGTGTTCAAGACACTTTTTTATGAGGGACCATGAATAGCAGGCTTAAACAGTGTGCAATGTAAACAAGACGACTTACCAGTTTAACTCAATCACTCCGAGGATATCAACTTAATAGTGCTCAACTTTGAGTAGAATTTATTTCATATTGTACTTCTGGTGGACACTGTAGCCGCTGTGCCTTGAACAGTTCAATTAAATTTACTAACACTGACAAATCTGAGACTCTTTTGCTGTTTTTGAACCTGTCGTTCATCACTAATGAATGAACAACCTGTGGATTTCTGTAATATCCATCTTATTGTCACTCCAGACGATAATAGAATGAAAGAATACATTCAATGTATCAGTGAGCAGTTAGAAATCTACCATTAGTCGAAGAGCACCCTGTACACTGCAATAGTCCCAATCTTTCTGATTTCGAGAGCCCTGTCCCTCTTGTGTCTGAGGTTATCTGTGGGGGACAGTCCTTGTCGATCACAGCCGGCTACAGTAATGGTAGTGGCTTTCTATCTTGCAGAGAGAAATGTTAACTACTGTCAATTTAATCAACTTCGACGTGTCAGATTCGTAGGGGCGATCTGGTGCTGAACCTGCAGCTGTTGAGTGGTCAGCTTACCTATCTTTTTTGTCCAATCGGCGAGTGGGAAGGAATTTGACTCTCCTCGGTCAACAGCCTCTAGCCCACTTGCAAAGATTGAGCCCATGATCAGAGAATTACACTTGCTATTTTTCATTAAGTATTACTCGACTAGTTTCTCTATGTTTAGTATCTAAATTGGCTATTATGCTGGGAACCTTCTGATTTATATAATCATATATATGTGGAATAATATGATCTAAATAGAACAATCATGCCAATTGTTGAGCACTGAATGTAGCAATCTTCTGTACGTGTTCAATGTGCTCACTCATGTTGCCAGGTCCACAGACGGGTACAATAAGCAACAAGGATATTAAAAATCGTCGGTATAATCTCCCACCATCCAGCGCGATGACAAAATCCTTTGAAACTCAGTCCATACAGTAGAAGAAACGCAGAACAGTGACTGTTAGTAGTGACAGTTACGAGTACCATGATGAACAACATCCACTATCACAAAGTTTTGATATTTAAATCTCACTAACAGAAGCTGAATACGAAGCATCTGATTGAACACGATTAGAACAAACTCAGTGTGTTGGATAGCTGTCCACAGCGCCGCCGCAACAACTAACTTGAATTTTAGAAGAAAAGAATCACTCCTCAGCAACACTGAGATCGTTAGCGCTTGAGATACCTCGCACGAACTCACTGGGGTAACTTCAACTCGTTGGCAGTATGCAGCCTTCAGGGAACAAGGTGACATCAGGTCGATGAGACAAGAGGAAGGATCCTGCACAGACGAGATCATGAACCTCGAAGCAAGACAATGCTGATATTGTGGTCTCTGAGTGCAATGGAACCCGCTTCATTGTTAGTTGATCCGTCGGCCAAATTGCTTCAGCAGAAGCTCCGTTTCACAATTCGCACACTTGTCCCTTGCAGACCAGCGATCGACGCAACGATGATTCAACAATTGGTCTATAATCGAAAGCGAAGCTTGCTCATTGATACACATCCTTTCGATCGGAAGAGTAGATGGATGAATTTACCAATAATTGAGCCTGTACAAGTATATATGGATGAATGTATATGAACTTCGTATATCATTGCAGGGTTATACTAATTACTAAACCATACATTAATTAAAAATTAGGATGTCCAAGAGCCCCAAATGTAGCCACCATTGGAGTAAACAATCTTTTATGTGCTTATTTTGAGTTTTGATTCCACTCTATGAAATTATTCACTTCATGTGCATGTATTTATGTATGTATGTATGTATATAGAAAAATATTAAATAGATCCATTCTTTTACTAAATTAATACACCTATTATAACCATCATTAGAAAAATGGATCATTATCTTGACCTTTATCTTGACCTCCTTCATTTCCAACCTCTATTCCTTCCATTCTCAATTCTCATCTTAACTTCCTTGTTTCTAATCTATGCTCCCTCCGTTTCTATCTATCATCTCAACTCCCTCCATTCCCAATCTATAATCCTAGTCCATGTCATTGTTACCAATCTTCATCTTGGCCTTGCTCCCGTATAAATAATAAGTATAAAAAAAATATTTTCTTTTTTGTTCAATTTGAAGATTATAAAAACCTAAGTTGCAAATTCTATAAGCACGGTTTCTAGTACATCTGGGAACTACAAATGAAGAAACCAATAATCTATTGGTAGAGGCTTCATCTTTGATTAAGCAAGATAAATCTACTTTTTTTTTCAAAGGCTTTTAAGATCTAAACTCAAAAACCATCAATTGAAAAATCAAAATCAAATGGACTCATTAGTAAGGGAAGCAACACTGCTCTCTTTCACAATATCAACAAGAACATTTATATTAACAAAGTCTTTTTTGAACTTATTGAGTCTGAGATTGAAAGAATGTCACATTTAATAATACTTGGAAAAAAAAAAGATCCTTACATCAACATTGCATTTGGTGCTTGGAAATATTTTGTAAATTATTTTGTAAAGCATTTCTCTTAAGAAAGAGTATTAGATGAGTTGAGGCTCTAACCTAAGAGAAATGCTTTACAAAATAGGATTGACAACTATAGATACATGCAAACTATGTTATTTAGGTTGCTAAGAGATGAGACAAGAACAATTTGAGAAGTTGGTTTTGTGATGAAGTTGTAGAAGGATAAATAGAGCCTCTACAAGCCCAAATTCTAATAGATTAAACTTATTCCTTAGAACCCTTAATTAAAGATTACATAGATTAAAATGTGATGTAATAGGCATCAGTTCACAAAGTTGCATATGTGATCAAGAACCAACGCCAACACAATACTCTTCTAGGGAGGTTGAAGGCATTTCTATATTTGATATACCATAATCAAAATAATATCATTAATTAATAGTAGATCCAAAAGCCATATATAATTATGCACATTTTTACAGATAAATTCTTCTATTTAAATGCAATCAAAGATAGAACTTTTTATAAGCATGTTTTCACTAATTTCATATATATGCACAATGAGTACATTGCATTGATCTTTTAGAAGGCATATGTATTGAAATGCTATGAAATTGAATATTGATACTTGAAAAAAGACAATTTTTGAATGAATGGCCTTCAACTTAAAAGCTAATTAATACTCGCAATTTATAACACTATTATGTGGATAATTTTTAAATAGCAAATTTTTATTTTTAAATTTGTTAAAAGAAAATAGATTGAAGTTCTTTTAACAATCAATATATATTCCAAAGAGCTACAATTATAAAATATTATTAATAAATCCATTGATAATCTCTAATTTTTCACTTCAAAAGACTATAAGGTTAAGATTAAATCCTCAACTTATTAAAAGATTATGATACAAAGTATAAGTTATTCATATTTAAGGTATCTCTGAAAGAGATTGTAGAAGAGAGTGGTGTGGTCTTTATTTCTTTCATCATGAATTCTTGTGTAATATATTTTTTAAAATGGTTGAAGTGTGAACCTTCTTGCTTTGCAATTTGCAAGCAAAACCTTTGAGTGGAAGAGAGGGAGAAAGGAAAGAGGGAAGAAAGAAGGAAAGAGAGAGAAAATAAAATAAAATAAAATAAAGAGTCGAAATAAAAGAAGAAAGGATTAAAAACAAAGGGATCAAAATGAAAGCTAAGAACAAAGAGAGTGTAGGCTGAAAATAGAGAAGAATCAAGATGAGAGCTAAGAATGGAGGTTGAAAACAAAGGAGGTGAAAATAAGGGCTATAGTTGTAATGATGGTTATAATAGGATGGATTGATTTAATAAAAGAGTGGATCTATTTTAAAAAATTATATATAGATATAGATATATAAGAATATATATGAAGTTATTAAAGCCACATCCTAATGTTGTTAAAGCCACATCCCACAATATCATTTCATGATCAATTCTATACATTTCTATCTATGTCGCTTGTTCCATGTCTCTAATCCCTCTTTCTCAACTCTTATATCTTGTTTCCTATCTCCATTCTTTGTTCTTTATCTTCCAATATTAATCATCATATAGTTTGGAAGATGTGGCTTTAATAACTTCCTATATATATATATATATATAATATTTTAATAAATTTTAATTTATATACTTAATTTTTGAATCTTCAAATAATATACTTAAAATTTGATAGCTGTATATATCTTTAAGAAAAGAATATATATATATATATATACAATTATTAAATTGATCCATGCATTTATTAAATCAGTCGACCTATCATAATCATATTAAAAAAAATCCAACGCTTGATCCACAACCAATAAAAAGAAGTGCTCAAAAATTTATATGTAAATGTATATGTAGATGTATATGTAGATGTAAATTTATATGTAGATGTATAATAATGGATAGGTTGATTTAATATATGACTATGTCAACTTTACAACATCCTATATACAAACCAAATGTGCATGTTAAAACAACAAAATGTACAATATTAATGGATTAAAACCTTAAGACTTGTAACCAAACTTATTACTATGTAATGAAGATTCAACTTGTTTTACCATTTAAGATTTTATTTGCTATCACCTATTACTATTTATTATTAGAAAATTTAAAAGCCTAGTAAATTTAAAAAGTCATATGTCATAATTTATTCAAAAGAATTACCATCCATTTCCTTTTAAAAATCAGTCATAATCAAAAACTTAGTTCCTACAAACTTTCGATCCTAAGCAAACATTAATAATTTCCAAATCATTCTTATTTAATACCCTAAAAAGAATGTTTATATGGACAAGCATAATAAATCATGCCCCTACTAATCTTATTGGGTTTGACTGATCAAAAAGATTGGAGGTCTTTATATTTTGGGAAAAAGTGAGAAAGCATAATTTTTAAATTATTTGATTGGTTGAAATTAAGAAGTTTGTATATTCAAACCAATTATGGAATTTGAAAATTGTAACCTTGGAGGTTTTGGAGATCTTAATACTTAGGAGCCAGAATGAAAAAGATGCTAATTTTAAATCATTTGATTTGTTGAAATTGAAAAGCTTGTATGTATAAACTAACCAAAGAATTTTAAAATTGCAACCTCTCACCCTGCCCTTAAATGTTAAAATGAAGACCTGTTCAGAAAGGTGTGCAGGTAACTGCTCAATGCCTCAACTCCAAATTGATCCTTACAATGTTTAA